TAATAATAATAATAATAATAATAATAATAATACCACTACTAACAAATAAGAATTGTCACCAGCACCACTATCATAACTTTTTTTCCTGACAGTGGAAATCTTTGCTCAAAGCGGAAGATAGGGACTGAGCACTTACGGGAGTGTCCCGAGTGCCGTGATGTCGATTCCTAATTCAACATTCCACATTCCTGACATTACGTAGTAGCGCCCCTTTGTTGTTTTTGCTGTTAATGATTGTTTTCCGTCACAACTGTTATAGACACTTTGTGATGAGTACGGGCTGCTTTTTAGACATTGTGTCATAAGCATTATCATCATCATCATCCTTACCCGTTGTAATGAAGGTACTTGTGTCTCCTCCACACTTAATCTCTCTAGTGCAGATTCAACACTGACTCTGTTGTCTAGGTGTTAGGTCACAGCTCAATCTAACCAGACGGCATTTCTCTCCACGGTCACACGACTTCAAACAACGGTTGACACCAGCTGATACATTTCACGAGTTTATTGTCACTGTAGCACAAGACACGAATCAACAGAAGAACCAACTTACACCATTCGGGCAATCTCGCCTTGCTCACGCATTAAGGATTCAGACATGCTTCAGACGATGGACACTGGCATGTGCACGGCTGGCTCAACAATCAAACCGTGTAACACAACGGCTGGCCTTCACGATCATTCATTCGACTCTGATTCAGATCCACGTGCACTCTTCATTCTGGATTCACCTTCACAGATTCAGCTTCACATCCTTCCAGTCTGGGGCCCAGTCACCGAATGACCACCTCATTCTCAATCCCCCAGATCTCGCATTCACACGTGACTCACTCTCTCTTGTCGTTTCATCATTTCTCCGTGAAACCCATGCTCTCAGGGACTTACCCAATTATGCCAGTCATCCCCTGACGTTATCCTTATTTATAGCATCATTACACCCGTAAAATTTTGCTTTCAGTTGTTATATTCCATTAGGACGACTGTTCATTATACGAGTTACCGTTAAACACCGTTTCTTTCTTTCTTACTTGTTTACGATCCTGTTTTACTCTGAGGTGTAGATGTTTACCAGAGAAATTGCCAGACTTCTCTGTCAGCAGTTTTCATTTTGGCTTAGTTCCGTTCCAGTTCTCTCTCAGTCAGGGACTGTCTGATGTTGCCTTCCCAGCGCCGTGGTGGTCTGTTTCCTTTGTTCTTTGCCTCCCAAGTCGATTCTTTCCAGTTGTGCATACATGTCCAAATATCGTAACCGTGACTGACTAACTCGAGTTTCTAGCGCCTGGGTTTCAATATTCTTATGTATTGTCTGGTTGAGAACTTTGTCCTTCTTGCACTAGGATCGGCTTTCTCAGATATCTCATTCCCGAGGCTTGAAGCTGGCTTCTGTCAGTTGTCATTGCCTATGACTCACACCCATAGGTCAAGATTGACATATAGGTAGAATGATAAACAGAAAACTTATGGATCTCTTGCCCATTTCTCTTTTGTTGAGAAACCGACAGTTTATGGCCTGAAACCCTCAGTGGTTGCTTTTCGAGTAGCCAACTCTGTCATAATGTCTTCATTCCGATCTATTGCAACTCCTAGGTATTTGACCTGCTCCAGTGCATATTGTTCCAACATGATCTCTTGTTTCTTCTTCCTTTCTCAAGATCACCATGGTTGCAGATTTAGAGATACTGATGGTGATCCCTATCTTCTTAATCTCATCCTCCCAGACAAGTAATTTGGAGTGAAGATATACCTCTGATTTAGCTATCATGGCCACATAATCTGCAAATGCCAGCTCTGATTGGTCTCATCTTCCAGTACTCTACTGAGCACTTCTTCGCCTTCTCCTCAAAGGTCTTGCTGGCATCAATGATAAGAAGAGGGAAGAGATAAGGTGACAGAATATCACATTGTCTAACACTGCTAGCGGTCTTAAATTCTTTTAACTTTTTATCTTTTGTTCTCAAAAAAATTCTGCAGCTTTTTGTAGACACTATATATTGCACTGAGCAGGTGTGCTGGGATGTTCTTGTCTGGCGAACAGTCCCAGGGCTTGCTCTGGATAACCTGTTCAAATGCCTTTTCTCTTAAAACAAAACACACACACACACACACACACACACACACACAAACATCGATGCATCTCACTCCTAAATTCAAGTTCTTTTTCACTAATATACTTGAGTGTAAAAGTAAGGTCCATCAGTACTTCGGTTTGCTCTGTAACAGCACTGAGTCTGATCTATCTGTGATTCTGCCAGGCCAGAGGAAGGGAGCCGTGTTAGCGCAGTCGATAGGATGCTCGCTTTCAAATCCAGCGGTGACTCGCTGCGGTCACGGTCAGTGGTCGAAACCGGGCAGTTCCCAGGGTTCACCCAGCCTCTAGGAAATGGGTACCAGAGTTGACACTCTAGGGTGAATGGCGGAACGTCGCTGTAGCTACGGAGTTACGTGCAGACGGCGACACGCGCGGACAGTTTCTTAACAGCTCACCGTACTAGTGGCAGAGCACTTATGGTTTCTAACCGTGTGCAATGACGCTGGTTCACATCTCCCGACTTTACCATAACCTTTATCTGCCAGACCTCTAAGTCTTTGCTCGAGAATTCTAGAATATGCCTGTTCTTTTCACATCAAACTTACCTGTTCAAGGCACCCTTACACAATTTTTAATAGACTAAGTCCAAGAGGTCGATAAGAAAAAATATGAACATAAGGCAGTTATGTTTAAGTTATTTTGTCTTGATAATAAAACAGTTATCTTCTGTCTCTTCTTCTTCACGTTCACTGATGGCGACTACCAGAATCTGTATATGATTTAGCTTATATATTAATACATCATTTTTGTATCCATTCTAGCTAGCAGTGAGTATTCTGAATTGTGGAGAAATAGCACTCTGGGGAGCAATCAAAATCTAAATAAGAAGTACGTACATATGTATCACAGACACTTAAAGGTTTAAGTGTATGTCTGTCTTTCTGTTTGTCTGTTTGTCCAAACACCCACCCGTCTGTCTGTCTGTCTGTCTGTCTGTCTGTCTGTCTGTCTGTCTGTCTGTCTGTCTGTCTGTCTGTCTGTCTGTCTGTCTGTCTGTCTGTCTGTCTGTCTGTCTGTCTGTGATTGACTGATGTCTTACCCAACCAGGACATCACAGCGAGAGATAAACACCCGGTGACACAAAGTGCCACCTTTCGGATGAGGATCACCCGGGGACGTCCCGAAAAGTCCGTTCAACCAGTAGGCTGGGTTACATTAGCCCCCCCCCCCCCCCCCCCCCCGGCAACAGAAAGGGTGGGCTTCAAACACAAACAAAAACACGAAACAGTTGCAGGCCACATAGGGGCGGAGCAACACGCGTCTGTCCGTCTTTCAGCTATATGCTTGACGTGCCACTGGCGTGAAAAGCGAATTTTGACACTTGCCGGTCAAAATGGACGCCAGGCACGGCACTGTTTCGCGTAGAGGCAAATTTTTTGCTTCTGCCAGACGGTGGCAGTTGCATTTTTGATCCATTTGTAGACTAAAAGGATATAGTTTCGTCGCGTCAGCTAGTGAGTTGAGTGCATAGTGCGACCCGGTAAGCTGCGGATTTCATTTGGAATGTTTTTCGACTGTGACCAGCGTGGTGTTGTGAACTGTAGATTCAGAAAAAGGCGCCTTGCCTGTCGCCGCAGTATTGGTGGCGCCCTTATGTAATTAATATTGATCGCGTGTGCAACTGCTGATCTTTTGGTAACTTCTGCTACCCTCGATGATGAACTGCATTTCTAATGTCAAACTGTTTGTGTTAGCACTTCTGATAGCTACCGTATGCTTTTAATGCGTGAGTATGCTAGTGCATATGCTGAGACAGCAGTCTGTCAATCTCTCCACAAAGAACTGTGATAAACATTCTGAGTGTTTTTAGTTAGCACAGGAGCGGAGCAGCTATGGGGTGACCCGTTTGCTATGAAGCTGAAACTAAGATTACCAAAGGAAATTTAAACTTGTACTCCCTTACAGTTTAATATCTCTGCTACAGTTTTAACATACGACAAAAACTGCTACTACATACAGGAACGGTTTGTATGCAGCTACGGCAAAGCATGTAAATATATCCAGTGTTGGTTCAACAATTCGCACACTAAGAACGTGCTTAGAGCATCAAATAGGGAGGGCACAATATACATTTTAAATAGACCTGGAACTAAGCGTTTATTTTCTCAGCTGAAGTATACTTTAAAAAAATGTCCACCAGGACAACAAGGCAGGATGGATGTTTTATGTCCATTACGTATAGAAGCAGATGTGTTGAAAAGGGTTAGTTTTATGAATCTGGAAAAAAAAGGACTGCAGTTAAATAAAAAGTAGGGGACAAGTTTTCAAATACAAATAAAGTGGAAGTATACAAAAATATGCATTATATTTCACTTACCTGTAAGTTGTGTTTAATTTTAAAGAAGAAAAAAGTTATTGTATGGTTTATTATTGTTTATATTTTGAACAAAAGACATCCACACACTCCTACCCACATGCACACACAATGGGGTGCACCAGTGTCGTCTTAACACATGGTCTAGCTAGGCATTCGCGCCATGTTAATCCGTGTATCTCAAGTAACCATCCGCCTTTTAATTCATGTGAATAATTTCCATAGGTGCCCCAGCACACTGGTTTGCCCAAGGGCCAATAATGCTCTTAAGATGAATCTGTGGGTGCGGTGCGGGCCATCAAAAATCTTATAAGTGCTTAGGGCATAAAATGGGTTTAATTAGGCCCTGAATATGCTATAAACCACCAGAGAACACTGAACTGGCAGACATAGATGGGCACAGGAACCAGGGGGTGGCTCAGAACATCTAAAACACCCTGCCCCCCCCCCCTTTCCGCCTCCTGAAGAAAAGCCGTTATCTATCATTCATTTGTTATATATGCGGCTGCTGTGTATTTAAACTGAGATTATTTTCAAGGGCGCCCTACACCTTGATTATTGGTTATTTTTATTTTAACTCTGTCTTAATGTTTTTAGATGCTAACAAATATAGAAAGAGCGTTTTATACACACACCTGCTTTTATTTTCACAGATTTCACACGACAGATACCAGTGGCACATTCCAGGCTATCGACAATTCAAAAATATGGATATATTCCACTTTCTTTGAGGTGACAGAAACCAGTGACTATTACATAAAAGGCTTGGGAATCGCACACCGTGAACGTGTATACCCACGAGTCTATTGTCAAGTGAACGGATCGCTATTTGAAGGCAGAATTGAGTCATTTTTAGACAGTCATCCAAAGCACACATCGTAAGTGTATTAATCTGTTATCTGTCTCGAACACTTTGACGCGAGTCAGCGTGGTACAGTGGCTAGGAGATCACCGTTTGATCCGAACGGAGCTGGAATTTGTTAAAAAATGACCTTTGTTTCCTGGTCGACCCAGCCTCAATAACTAGGTACCAGGTAAAGTCCTGGGAGGTAAAGAAGGCCGGTATGATGCTGACCACATAACCCACCTAGTGCCGATTGGTTTATAAAATATAAGTCCAGCACTGTGTGCCCAGTATGCCCAGAGGCAGATTACCCACTATTCTCGGGTTCACTCCCGGGGGTAGGCAGAAAAGCCACATTTCTCCCAAATTTACGGTATTTACAATGGAATCAAGGCCGAAGGGTTGAGATATCCAGAAAACCGAGCCTAAGGGTTAACAACTCATGGCTTCTGGATACGAAAACAAACAAACAGCAGTTCTAGCGATACGTTTTTTTTCCCTGCTGTTATGCGCGTGCAAAGAATTTCGAGATGATACGCTGCATATAAGGTAGTGGGGATCCTGTCGCAAGCGCAAGGCCAGTCCTGTTTTATTAATCTTATCTAGTTGAGTTGCGTTTTTTTTCCAAGACCCGACATCACAGCACTCGGGGCATTCCTATAAGCGCCCCGTTCCAATCTTCAGCAGCCAGTGAACAATTCCAATACTAATGGTGCCATGAGAATTCTGAATTAACCTCTGTCTTGCCTTTCCCCTGAGTCTCGAGCATCTGCCAGAACCTCTCGTCACTCCCAGCTCAATAAATCTCACCAGAGTGTGCTGATCCATCTGCTAATCCGAACCGTACACGCTCTTCCACAAGGCACTAACCACGTTTGCCTTATTATGAATCAGTATTCCACCAAGTTGTGCAGAACCAGCCACTCTGTCCGCCTGATTATTTCCCAAGACACCGGCGTCTCCCGGTTAAAAATATCTAGACAATATCCCTTACCCATGTCCTCCGCAGTGAAGCATGCCACTCTGCAAGAAGCCTGCCTGTCCTGACCTTCCTTAGCATGCTTTTTGAGACAGTTACATTGACGATGTGTGTGTGTGTGTGTGTGTCGTGTTCTTTAACCAGCGGAAAGCTGCAATGACCGCCTCCATCTCCATCTTAAGCTGGATGTTGTGGTATCATATGTTAGGCTGTCTTGCACCATTAACTATTGCCAAGAAACCCGAAGGACTTCTTTTTTCTCTTGACACTGACCCGTCTGTGTAAATAATCAAATCGGCTGAGCGAGAATTATCTTGAATTAATTGCGGAATTTCAACCTCCTAATGTTCTCAAGGATGCAAACCTGTCTGATTGTGTCTTCTTCCGGAGCCATCCATGTCTTCTCTCTTATCAGCCGCTGAACCTTAACTGCGCCCAGAGCTTCGTGCAAAGGGTGATTTGTGTCTACAGCAACTGTAATAGGCTGGAGAACACTAAAGACTGCTGTTTAGCATTTTGACGATTTTTGTTTGTTTGGCAGGAACAACTATTAGTTTTAGACTGTAACGCAAAGATACCTGGCTAGCTATAAGAATAAAAAACTTTGTTTAGTCTTTTAACGGTATATTTGGCTGTCGCTCTGTGGTCGACCCGGTATGGTAAGACGCTCTGTCTGCCGTTGTTTGACTGCACTTAGTCTCAACGCACAGGTGTGTCTGATCGAACCAGATGAGCGACGCTAGACTGGCTCGTGCTCGTGATAATGGTACGTTTCATTTGTTTAGGTGGTGTTAGATTTGATTTCCATTGTGCATCAACGCTAGGAGATCGTTTGATGTCAGGTCGCTATAGGGGATTGGTTGGTCTTGTGGCATTTTGAAGCTTACCGTACATGTTAAATATGTTTCTGTTTTTGCCATTTTTGAGGTTATCTAGCTGAGCGTATGGTGTCATTATCATATTTCCTTGTTAACTGGAGATGATTAGCACTTTAGATTCTGCCTCTTTTCGAGCACGTTGGTTGTTGTCATTGTTTTTATTGATTTTATGTTAAGTGAAATAAACAGATGTTCAATGTGTTAATCATAGTTCCAGTTGTTTTTCCTTCAGATTAGGACTTGTGGTTAGTGTGCCTAGTTTATTTGTTGCCTACGCTGATCTAGACTGTACACAGAAGATCTCTTGTCTGGGCTAGAATATTTCTATTTCTAGTTCCCGCCTAAGGACATCTTTTTATTTATTTTTCGTGGTACTTAGGGCTTTTCCGTTCTAGTACAGTACCTTGAGATATGACTTCGCCTGCAGCACCTTGTGCCTACCTGCAACAGTCGGCAAACCAAGGATGTATCGCATACACACCACGGGGGTGTCTCTGGTGCAACCCAGAAAACCCGTTGCGTTTTGAGTGCGCTCTAGTTTGTCCATTTTGACTCTTTAAGACGGTAAGCAGTCCCAGGCCATAATCAACCACTGACAGGATCAGGTGCTGATATAGTGTTAAAAGCATTTTCTGCTCAATGTCAATGCAGCCATAGTCTTAAGTGCACTAAGTCTTTTTTGGGATCTTGTCACAATACTCTCCGCATGGTCCTTAAAGGACAGGCTCCTGTCAAATGTAATTCCCAGATACTCCAGTTTGCTCTCTCTGTTGTTGTTTCTGCCATTTATCTTGAGACTTCGGACATGAGCTCTAACGATCCTGTTGCCCAGAGAACACCACAAAACAGACTCCTTTTCCGGGTGGACGACAGCCCTCATTTATGTACACCACTCAGTTACTTTGTCTACTTCCGCTTGTAGCTGCCGGGCTGTTTGTTCCCTCTATTTTCCCTGCCTATATGCAACTCCTGGTGCTTCCAGGCTTGCAGTCTTGCTAGTTTACAAGTTAAAGAGCACTGGCGAGATGGCGGATCCCTGTGGCAGTCCTGGGGCCAAACTGCATGGTTCTGAGGTCCATGAGACCAGTCGGAAAGCAACCCACGTGAATACATGACAGCTACAACCTAATTCACCAGCCTTGGACTGGCCTTTTTCTTCTCTTTCAGCGGAGTCATCAAGAAGTCACATCTTACTCTGTTATAAGCATACTCGAGATCCAGTGCTACCGCCATAGTTTCCTGTCTGTTCTGGAACCTTCATGGATGTGAAAAGCAAAAGTGGCATTATTTGCCCATATGTACTTTCCTGGCCTGTAGCTTCCCAGACGTATTGGGTGAAGTTTCTCCCTTTCTAAAAATAATTGCAGCTTTACAGCAACTATCTTCTCGAAGATCTTTCTGAATATGTTTTGCAAGGTAATGATTCTAAAGCCACTGAGCTTTGAATGATCCTTAAAATGTTTTGGCAGTGGGATTAGATAGCTGTGCACCCAGTCCTGCGGTACTGATGTTGTCTTAATACTCTAGTTAAAACAGTCGGCCATCTCTGCCAGGTCTACATCGCTCAAAGCCTTCATGTTGCCATAACTGACCCCATCAGGCCCTGGTGCAGTATCCTTTGCCTTTTTCCAAATTTGTTTGAAATCTTCTACTCATATCATGCCTTCATAATGCATATTCTTCAAGGGGCCAGCTAACTCTTCTCTAATTGCATCCCTGATGTCTCTACATCATTATGATCTTTCTGAGCTATAAACCAATGAAGAAAAGCCTCCCCTTTTTCCTTGTATGTTGTCATACACGCACCATCGTCTCTACAAATTGTTCCGCCTGGCATAGGCCGATTTTTTTTTCTAGGGTGTGCATTTGTCTTAGTTACTTCCAGAATTTCCCCAATGTTTTATCGCCTCCCATATCATTCACAAAAGTTTCCATTTTACTCTTTGGGCGTCTGCTTCACTGCGGCTCTCTTTGCCTTTCACGCCTGTTCTAATTCTGGAGTACACCATGGGGGTTGTAGAAAATTATTTCTGGCAGTTCTGCTGCATGCTCCCTGTCTGAGGCGCCCAAGTAGGTTGTTGGTCCACTTATACCGGAAGGGTTTGCGTGCTCTCCCAGCTTTAACCTTACTGAGTTTAGAAATCAGAACTGAAAATGGTATGTAATCACTGCCATGGTAATTTAGGATAGTCCGTTTAACATCTAAAACCGACGACTGAGAGACAAATGTCAAGTCAATGGCGGTGTCTGCGTCGCCAGACCTCATTGCCTTTCTAGCCGACCTCCCATCATTAATGCAAACCATGTCGGAGTCAATCATGGCCTCTGCAAGAGCAATTCCCTGTCGGTTTTCTCAGTTGTTGTCCCATTCTCTATTCCTCGCGTGGAAATCTCCACATATGAGTAGCCTATCTCCTGATAACTTCTCATATTCCCTGAGACAGCCTCATTGTTCCCTTCTGGCAAAATTAATCTCATCGTGCAAAGTAAAGCCAGAAGACTGGATCTCGTCTTTAAATGTATGGATCAAGCTTGGAGTGTAACACTATGAGCTACCAGTAGCAAAAAACAAAACAATAACTCTCTCTCTCTCTCTCTCTCTCTCTCTCTCTCTCTCTCTCTCTGTGTGTGTGTGTGTGTGTGTGTGTGTGTGTTTATGTTTGTGTGTGGCCGGCCGGGAAAAAAGAATGAGCGGAGAGACTATAATAATATACAGTTTCTAAAAACTTTCTAAAACAAATGTCCCCACTAATTGTAACTACTTGCTGTCACTGGTTATAGTTTGAATGTATTACATACACTACAAGCTCATACAATAAATTCCCACTCAAAGGCATATTAGGGAAGCATATTCTGAGACATTAATTGTCAAACAATAGATTCATAGATTCGTAGAATGTTTATGATTGATTTATAACCAGTACGTTTGCACTGTCTTCTGCAGCTATACTTCCATCTACTTCCGGTGTCGCCTCTGTCAAGGTTGTCGTCCAGACTTCGTGTCATTGACTCTGTACAGCAACAACACGAAGGAATCAACGAATGCATTTACCGTGCTTTATCCCCAGCCTAGAAAATACAATATAACAGTATGTCACCCAGCTCTGCATGGGCCATACAGTGAGCCATACCGAATTATCCAGTCCATTGAACTAAACACAGTTCTCGGAGCCCAACACGTTTTTATTTATAACAACAACGTGTCCAAAGAAACGGATATTGTACTAAAAGAATATGAAAAAGATGGAGTGTTAACTGTGCTTCCATGGCCATTGCCAAGGGAATCCAATGCCTGGTACTACGCCCAGCACACGGCAATCAATGACTGTGTCTATCGTAATAGAAATAGTTCTGCTTATGTGGCAATTATTGATGTAGATGAATTTATTATGCCTGTAAACACAACGTCTTGGCCTGACATGATTGAACACATCAACAATGAATATTATGGGGATACAGGAAATAATAAACCTGTCATGGGATCAATGGCATTCGAATCGTGTTTATTTCAGACGAAATTACCTAATAATACATGGAAAGAGATTATGCAAAATTACTCATTTACCGAGGAAGAAGAAAAAATCATTAATAAATATTCCTTGTCGTCTCTGTTAAGTTTTGAACGCACCGATCCACCATTTTCGTTTCCACAGAGAAGCAAAAGTATTGTCCGGCCAGAATTAATATTCTCCGCAGGCATTCATAGCACACATCGGCACCACAAATCAGCCATACAGTACAAAGTGGATAACAGGGTGGCTATTGTGAATCATTACTCCATGTCGCACAAGAGATCCAAACAGCTAATTTTAGATTTAAATATCCTTAGACTAAAAGATTTGTTTTTTCCCCGTCTTAAACTTGCTATTAATAGATTTGCAAAAATTCTTGTATAACTGTTGTTTTTGTTGTGTTAGTTTAATAAAAATATTGTTACAGAATGACTGACTGACTTTCTACACCACCAGGACATCACACAAGCGATAAACACCCGATGATACAATGTGTCACCATGTGGATGAGGATCACCGAGGAGAGGTCCAAGAAACTGCGTTCAGCCATTAGACCATATTTATGGCCTGGCTATATTGCGGCCCCTGGCAAGAGCCAGGGTAGGGCTTCAAATAATCAAACATTTCATCCTAAAAAGGACGGCACAATGTGATTGTTATAGAATATTTGACTGCGGGATTGGTAAGATTGTATATTGAAATAGTAATGGTCTGTTACAAGTGATAACCTCACGATGATACGATGATTATCAAAGGCATTATAATCTATAAACAGTAGATAATAAAATAATGGATAGCTGATCAATCTAGGGTGGAGGTAACGTAGTGAAAAGGTGGTAGGCAGCATGCCTGACTAATGCTCACTTACATTACCCCGGTAGTTGAAAAGACTGCTAAAAGTTGAGCGATCGGCGATGCAGATGTGGAAATCAAGGGGAGACTACCATATTCCTATAAACTCTAAACAAAACCAAAAACAAAAACAAAAAAACGCTCAAAGATCTTATATTGAGGCCCCTGTCCAGGCAGGTTATCTACGCGAACTGGTGGAGAGAACCAACGCCTTGTCCAGATAAAAAGAAGGTCATGGCAAAACAACGGCAGATCTAGTATGAGCAGCAGAGAAAGCACATAAGGTTGGGTAATTGGCTATAGAAAGAGAGACTTTCAGGCATGCTAGAACTAGAGCGACGTTTTGTAAGGGAACTGGTAATTGATGATGATAACGATAATGACAATGATAACGATGACGATAATGAATACTTCGTAGAAGAAAAACCTGAGATACTGGTGAATATCTTGCGAGTTTACACGCGTTTACTAGTTTCTCTTTATTTATGCATCTCTAGCTAGTGTGTATATCCGTAGTCCCGTAGAGTGAGCTGATCGTCAGTTAACATTGGAGTGTCTGTGACTTTTGATAAACCTAGGACTATTGTTAAACCTAGGACTCTTGTTAAACCTAGGTGTTTATTTAGGGGGAATTAAATAAATATAGCAACCGGAAGTAGAGAAGAGGGTGGGGGAGGGGGGGGGGAGAGAGAGAGCAATAAAGAAGTAATGCCGGTGGGGTGTGTTGGTGGTGATGAGGATTATAAAGATGATAACGATGATGATGATGACGATTATGCATAGTTTAGCTATTTGCTTGAAATTACTCATCTCCCGTACCTTTTTCAGCTGATGGCGATATTGTTGATGATTACTAGCAAGTTATTTTTTTATATGAAATATTAACAATGTTGTTGTTGCTGTATATAATAATTTTTTGTTGCCTGATTATATTGGTTTTTTCACACGCACACACACACACACACACACACACACATATATATATATATATATATATATATATATATATATATATATATATATATATATAAAAGAAAGAAAAAACAGATAGTTTAGGATGTAAGCATATTTCTTGTCTAATTTTTCTTTGTTCGTGATATTCTGAGAATCTTTTTACATCAGTGCGGCTCAAAGGCCCTTTTCGGAAAATGAAATACATTGGACATATCAAACATCAAAGGAAACTGGGGGAAAAAAAACAGTAGCTGGAGACACGGGCAAGAGAGGCAGGGGCCTACCAGCAAGAAGATTGGCAAAGGTCATCAGCGACGCTAGAAATGTGCATGAGGCGGGAGAGCAGACGAGAGAACGAATTTCTTTCAGGTGGGCTGTGATGAAAGCACACGAGACAGAAGATTGGAGATAGACGTGACTACCAACGCCACACGGCATTGACTTTAAGAAGAAGTGACGAAAGTAGCGTTCTGTTAAGAACCTGATACATAACGACCATGTTTCCATATTCCAACTTTATACGTACAATACATTTCATTTGTCTGTGTTGGTTCATGGACTCCATTTTAGGCAACGAGAATAGACCCACTGTCCTCCACTTTGTTACTGTTGTGTAGTTAGTTCATGCTGAGAAAGGCCCTGGCCGAAATTTCGGTTTGTGTGTTTTGTGCCCGTTGTTCTGCTATTCCATTTCGTTAAGCTTTTTTTTAGTCACCGTTCACTTGATTGATAGCTTCTAAAATACATGTTGTATAAAGCCTCTATTTATGAGACTGTTCCTTGGAAGTCGGAGTGTGCCTGCTTGTGTGGCGAGTAACCAACAGTCTGGATACAGATTAACCATATTCATGAAAAGGATGTGCAAGCAAAACTGAAGTTCTGGAGCAAGACCGAAGTTCATAAGTAGACAAACAACTAAAACCTTCTGCTGGAGTTTACAGTCGGTGACCGCTAAGAAGAAGACACACCTGTCAACGAATTGTCTTACAGTTTCCATTTAAAGATATACCCAGAGAAAATATTACTTGTCGAAAGCGAGACGAGACAGTATAAACCAAAATGTCCAGATTGTCGCGATGAATATGTTGGATACTCATATCATGCATTAAAGAAGTTAAATGTAGAATAGCTCAAACAAAGACAGCATTTTACAAAATGAAGAATATTTTATGAATTTTTTTTCGGTAAATTGAGACGAAAAAGTGCATTCTTAAAAGCTACACAAATCCTATCTTGATATTCGGATGTGAATCATGGACAGTTTGTAGATTAGTGAAGCATTTTTGGAATCTGCGGAGATGTGGTTTTACATATTAATGATGAGAAACACAGGACAGTTAAAAAGTGTAATAAGGATGTTTTGAAAGAAACTGACTCAGGAAAAGAAATGATTGTCCACATCAGAAGGAGATAATCTACATTTGGTGGCCATGTGATGAGAAGTAGAAAACTGGAGTACATCGTGACGGTAGGTAAGTTAAGGGGAGGAGAGGCAGAGTGAGACCGAAAGAAAATATTTTGGACAATTGACATCATGACATGGAGGATCATCTGTGTCAGAGGTGATTGAAAGAACACGAGACCGAAGGTGCTGGATGTACGCGATTGCCAACACCACACGGCATGGACTTTAAGAAGAAGAATATCATACGGTTGGCATTTCCCATATACATAATTCATCTTAATCAAGACCTCCTGCCTAAGAGCCAATGTGGCTTCCGAAAAGTGCGAGGGACCATTGAGATGATTTTTGCAGCTCGCCAGCTCCGGGAAACGTGTCAAGAACAAAACTGCGATCTCTATTCTACCTTTATAGACCTCACAAAGGCCTTTAAAAAGTTAGTAGAGGAGGACTGTGGAAACCCATGGATAAATTTGGCTGTACAGCAGTTCCATGAAGGTATGCAGGCTAGAGTGCTGGAAAAGGGAAAACTGTCGGATCCTTTCCCTGTATCACATGGCGTAAGACAAGGATGTGTGCTTGCGCCAACCTTGTTAAGTGTGATATTTGCTGTAATGCTTTTCAATGCTTTTGATGATGACGATCCAGTAATTGCTTTAAATTACCGTACAGATGGCAGCTGGCAGCTTGTTTAATTTGAATGGCTTCAAGCTAAAACAAGAACTAAAATAACTACAAATAGGGACTTTTTATTTGCTGACGACTGCTCATTAAACGCCAACTCTGAGGCCAGTATGCAGTACATCATCAATAGATTTACTGAAGCCTGTACCAGCTTCGGGCTAACTATCAACACTGATAAAACTGTTGTTATCTATCAACCGGCCCCAGACAAAATTACTGTGATCCCACTATCACCGTAAATGATCTAAAAGCTAAATTTGTAGTCGACAGATTCACTTATCTTGGCAGTACCCTATCTCAGAAATAACATCGATAACGAGATCAACGCTAGAATCTTAAAGGTCAGTAGTAGTTTCGGCAGACTTTAAACCAGTGTCTGGAACAGAAGTGGACCAAGCTAAAGGTCCACAAGGCTGTATTTTATTCTCCCAGTACTGCTCTTTGCTTGCGAAACGTAGACTGTAAAAAGTTGAATCAGTTTCATATAACTTGTCTCAGAAAACTGCTCAGAATCAAATGTGAAGATAAGATCCCAAATACTGTAGTTCTTGATAGGGCAAATCTGCCTAGCATCCACACGATACCGGAGAATTATCTGCTAAGTTCCGCTGGTCACCTAGCTCGCATGCCAGACTATGGCCTCCCAGAATGGATATTTTATGGGGAGCTCTAGCAAGGGAAGAGGTCCCATGGAGGACAGAAAAATCGTTATAAAGACACTCAAAACTGCTCTCAGTTCTATTGGCATCAACACAGCGACGTGGAAGGCTGCTGCACAGGACTATACGGGATGGCAGACATCACTCAGGCATGGTGCATCAGCCTGCTAGACATCGGAGGTTGCACAGGCAGTGAAATTGAGGTAGATTAGAAAGAACCGTACTGCTAATCCCACACTTACTGCGGCTTCCACCTGTTGTCCGGACTGCTCAAGAGCCTTCCAGGTTCATGTTGGACTAATCAGACATCTTTCTCATAATCATTGATCGTTAATATTTTGGATGAGAAGTGGTCTTCATCGCTCGTGATGGACCAACAAAAGCAATTCCTAATGATTTTCATTCATTGCAATGTATACTGTTTAAGGGAGAAAAAACGCGCATAGTTATCCTACTTTTTTTTTTTTAATTAGCTGACAGGAAAGCCTAAACGCCTAAAAATTATAGATAGCCTAGAGGCAAAAAGAAACGTCAAGTGATTGGTTGGACGCTGAAGTAATTCTGCTCGCAATCTGAACAA